GACATTGTCTGTGTCATAACAAAGTTCAGAAGTGCCTTTTTTCAAGGAAATGTTTCTGTTATATAAGGAAGTTCTCAGATTTATTTATTTTTTGCACTACAGAATAGGATTTGTATTAATAAAAATTGCTTGAAATGTATATCTAATCATCACTTTTTTAAATTCAGGTTTTGAGCTTCATTATTAATAAACCAATTCATGAAGCAGATTCACTTTTCCTTTTTCCAGTTTTCTGGGATAATGAGCCTTAAGCATTACTACCCAGGAAAAATTGTACATCCAAAACATCTTTGGGAACTTCACATTAGTTGATATAAAAATATCATTGCTGCGAAAATTTTAAATTATAGGTAGTAACTTTACAAAAGCCTTCTTGAATAACAATTGTTTTTGAAGAATATTTAGCCATCAAATAGAACATATTAACACCCTGTAATTCCAAATCGGCATGCCCAAACCTATCTATTTAAATTTGTTATGGCCCCTCTAGAAATTTATGAATATATTTATGAATATTGTTTAGATTAGTTGCTATTAATCAATCCTAAATCAATATTTATCATTTTCTTATGTACAGCATAACCAAGAGTAGGCTAACAGTGTAAACGTAATTTAATCGTATCTGTCTCACATACTGGATAGAGTAAAGCAAATTTCAGATCAAATGCAGGCTGCTGTTGCTACATGCCTGAAAATACATTTCCTTGAGTTTAACAGATTCATACAGTGCCATCTACTGGATATAACAGGTTACATAGATTTTATTTAATTTTCTAACAACTAAAACTTGTTTAGTATTTAGTATTTGTTTGATTTGTCAATTGCTTACAAGATACAGGTATAAGAATAAATATAGTTTTGAATACATGAGATAGATACTTATAACAAAAATATAAAACAATAGGACAGGGAGGCACGATTGGTGCGCTTATGCACGCCCTCTACAGGCCTTAGGAAAGGGGTGAGGTTAAGTTTTTGGGCTTTGGGGAAGAAACCAGAGTCAGGTAGAGTATTCCAAACATTGACCACTCAGTTGCTGAAGTTGTATTTTCTGCAGTCAAGTTTGGTGCGGTTAACCTTGAGTTTGTATCTATTGTGTGCTCTTGTATTGTTATGATTAAAGCTGAAATATTCATTTGCAGGTAGGACATTGCAATGTATGATTTTATATACTATATTTAGATCGGACCGGCGTAGTTCTAGATTTTCTAGGTCTAGAGTTTCAAGACTGGTGGCATAAGGTATTCTGCAATGAGTAGAGAGGAGAGAAGACTTCTTGCAGAGAAACTTCCAGATCTTCGTTTCTAACATCATTTTTTAGAAAGAAGTCAATCACTTTGAACTTCATTCTGGATGCCAATAAAAATTCAGATTAGTGTCAGTTAAGTCCTAGGTAACAATTGGCAGGAAACTAAATAGAGACTCCCAACAGCTGCTGAATTATTAACTGCAGTGTCATCAGAGGTTAATCACATTTCATTATTGGGTTCCATTTGAACTAGTGGCCTAAACGAGAAAAATTAAATTCCCTCCATTTACTGATTGCGCCAGCCATTCAAGCAACTTTTGCTCTGAATATTTCAGTTTCAGAACATAAGAGCTTGACGAAACAGGAAGAGCAACATTTAAAGTCCTCTTCCCATTAATCAATGCTGTGGATGCATTTATTTCAGCTGTAGAAATGTTATGCAAGTATCAGTTGAGCCATGTTTTGTGCCAAACTAACAACAAAAATAATAACATCAGAAATATTTGAGAGACGTGTGGTTATCACAATAATTAACAGGGCTAAAATTTCAGTGTTAGTCCTCCAATATTCTGTTGTATTTTGATATAATAGAAGAGTACTCCTTTAAGAATGACAATCAAATGAAAGGAATTTATATTTAATTTTTCATATAAATCCTCAATCTTTAATAATAAGGAATATGAATTTACAACCAATAACAAAACTAGTTATTTTGAAACATCCCCCAATTACCATAAAACTTATTAGAAAGGAACAATTTGAAGATACTGATTACTTTTCCAACTATTCTCAAATAACTCCAAACAACTAAAAACGTTCTGACAAGTGAGTAATAAGCAATTCATTTAATGAGGCTGACTATATGTTTTATTTGGAATTCCCTTTGCTATCATTGTCCTCCTTTCTTTTTACCATAAACTGGCTTTGTTGGTTTAATAAGAGAATTTCTCATTAAAATATTTTCTAACCATTTTTTAGAGCTGGAACACGTTTTATTTATTTTACTTCTATTAAGCAAGTTTATATTTCTATCCATCTACCAAAAGAAACCCTAGGATGATACATAAATTTTGTTAAGATCTATATTCCTATATTTAGGGCAGGAAACTACAAAGGCTCTCCTAGGGGTGGACTAAATTGGGAAGAGACCAGTAAAAATGAGCCAAATCTTCCCAGCTGGACAGACTAGAGTGCATCCAGAAATTCAGCCTGACTGGCAGAAATATATATATTTTACAGGAGAATCTTTGAAATATTATAATTGCTCTCTATTCTGTAAGCCTATTAGTCATACATGTTTACTGTAATTCATTTGGTGAGAAATAAACTCAAAGATGAACTTCTTATCCAAGTGCAATCACAAAAGTATGCAACCTAACAACTTTCTTAGTCTATGTACAGAATTAAAACAAAGTCGTAACGCATTATTGTAACAGTAGCTAGCATCCTTGCCTGACACCGAAGTTAAATAGACTACACAAACCTAAAAGAAGTTGCATGAAAATACATCAAATTTTGTAAGAAACTAACAGATAGTAATTTCGACAAACTAGAAACTCTGCTGTATTCTTTAGCATCTGCCATTTTGCTTCATTGGTGAAAGTTGTGATAAAAGGTTGTGTTGCTATTATTTGCAAAATGGAAGCCTAGAATGAATACTAATCAGTGTACTTTATACAATGTGCCATCATTTGGGGTTTTTTTTCCTGGTTTTTTTTTTTTTTTACTTCCAAAGGTGTCCCTCAGGATTAAATTCATTGCCAAATGCTGGTTGCTGATAGTTCTGATTGTTGCTATGAGTACTGCACATAACTGGGCCGAGAAATATAAAGGTAATTAACTAGGAAGTGCTGATCTGTGTGATCAAGGATGAAGTGATGACAAATCTACAACAGCAACCAACATGTTTCACATCAGAAAGGTTGAACCAATTAAAGCAGCAGATCACTCAAAAGGAAATTGCTTTTAAGTTTGGCATTTACAGAAACATGCAGGACACATTATTGTTCTTCAATATTGGAAAGCTTGAGCAAGATGGGTTTCTTGTATGCTGATCACATAGAGATGAAAGATTCAAGAGTTCAACTTTGCTGCCAGCAATTGTTATCACATTATCAGAATGAAAGTGAGGAATTTATTAACAGCATTGTGATGAAGACAATATTGGCATCATTAATGAACAAAGATTAATCCACAGAATATCATTTCATAATAGTTTTTCATGGATGAAAAAAAGACCTTGGTTTCATCACAAAAGCTCATGGTTATAGGTTTTTTTTAAAAAAATGTAGATAGTACCATGGATTTCTTTGACATCATTAGCAATTCAACACTCTGAACTTTAAAACATTTGGAAGAAGGAATTTTGCTGCAACGTGACGCTAGGTATAACATTTCACAATTATCTATGAGGCCATTGTGAAGTTGGACCTCACCATCTTATCACATGCATCATACAGTCCAGATATGGCACCGTACAACTTCTACCTTCCCCCCAAATTGAAGGAATGTTTTTGCAGACATCTGTTTGACGCAAATAAAAAGGTGGAGAGGATTGTCATGATCTGGTTGAAGAGATTGAAGGGATGTGTGGACTTCTTTATTAATGACTTTCAGAAATTCCTGCATCGTTACCAGAAATGCGTAGTGAATGGTGGTGTTTACACAAAGTATGTGCAAGTATCAAAAGAGCTATGTCAATAATTATTTTCTTTCATATTTTCATATTTTAAAACATCTCTACTTAAAGTTATGGAAGTGGAGGTACTTTTTTCAACTCTCTTATATATTTTTAAATAAGAAATGGGGCTTGCTACGAACTGCACATTTTTAACTGCATTCCTCAATATGCCCTTCTAAGAGACAAGAATACTCTTGATTTAAATGGAAGTCCTGACAATTTCTGATTATTTAAATAGAGCAAGATTATTTGTTTTGGGATATAAGAAAACTTTCCAGTAGGTACCTAAAAGTGTTGAAATTATAAGTTTGTAAATTACAAGTAGTCCTTGACTTACATCTAGTAACTGTTTAAAGTTACAATGGCACTGAAAAAAGTGACAAGACCATTTTTCACATTTACAACAATTGCTGCACCCCCTGGTCATGTGATCAAAATTTGTACACTTGGCAACTGATTCATATTTATGATGGTTGCAATGTCCCAGGGTCATGTGAGCACCTTTTCCAACGTTCTGACAAGCAAAGTCAACGGGAAGGCCAGATTCACCTAACAACTGTGGCAAGAATGGTCATAAAATGGGGCAAAATTCACTTAATGTCTTGCCTAGCAACAAAAATGTGGGTCTCAATTGTGACCCTAAGTCAAGGATTACCTGTATCGTATTTTGGGGTTTTTAAAGGTATTATTGGGGCTTCTTAAATTTGCATTCCTTGTTTTTATATTTTTTATCTATTGTTTTTGCTACCCAGAATTGCCTGAGTGAGATGGGCAGCTATATAAATTTGATTAATAAAATTATTTTATTAATTAAATGTCAGATTGTAGAAAATATCCACATGTAGCCAAAAAAAAGTTCATGCCAATCATGCTATATTCAATAGCTTTAAGCCATCCCTGCTGTATGTTTGGAGGGTTTTTAGTAGAGTTTTATAAAATATTCTTTAGTTCTATTTATGTTTATGTAGCTAACTCTAAATATAAAACCTATTTCAGTGTTTATACAGAAATAGAGACATTCCATAATGTAAATTACATTTCACATTACATTTAGTTTTTCAAAATTAGTAGTAAACACATAAATATCTAAGAAATTCTGAAATATCTCCTTTAAAATCTGAACACTTTATACTCCAATATTAAGCTTATTTGTAATTCCAGTTGTTGGCTTATAGTCCAGTTTGTACAAAGATAATTGGAACTTTATTAAATGAATCTGAACATCAGAAACAAGAAAAAGAAATGCCCCTTAGGACTGATGACATAAACCATTAAGTTCTCCCTCCATCCCTTTTTATTTCTTAACATTTACCAGAGTCTACCACGTTAATCCTTTTGGTGCTTTAGACTTATTTTTTCCTTTGACACGTTTTGCCTTTAGCTTTTTTCTCTGTCTGGGATTCATCCATACTGGATATTGTCCATGTTGATCCAAAAGAGTTTTCTGATTTCTTTTAGCATCCATGTCCATCTTACTTCCATCTAGCAAAACACACACACAAAGAAGTAAATTGCTATTATCACCTGAACATAGTAGACTTAAAAGTGAATAAAAAAGAAACTGTAGGAATAAAGTAGCAGCATAAATTATTCTAATACCGATAGAGCGAAGAACAACCAGTCAGAAATGAGGAAGGCACTACAAGCACATGTATGCTTGCACTATGATGGTTTTTAAAAAGAGTTTCAAATTTGTTAGTATAGTCTTTCTTTGGAAAAAAAATTATTAGTTATTGAGAAACAGCCAAGTGAAAAGATCATTCTGATTATTCTGATTACAATGTTTCCCCTCTTTGCTTTCCACTGTCAATCTTCAAAAGAATATGTACCAGTCCCACAGGTCATCCTCATACACTCCTTCCATCTTATTTTCATTAACAGCATTGTTCTTCAACTCTCAGAATTTCCAGTCAGCCAAACTTTTGCTAGGACATGTTTAATGCCTAAATAAGATAGACACATAACATAGCCTATTTCTGCTCTATCAACTCACAGAAGCAGTTTCATCTATATGGTGATATTAGATGATTTTTTTAAAAGGGAAGATTTACATAGCCAAGGGAAATATGAGAAAAACCAAAAGAAAACACAACAGTATCAGGTGATGGATATACAGTACCATGATTCCAATTTTTCAGAGCCCGTTTGTTGCAAATCTCAGAACAATGCCTCCCAGTCTAAGCAATTTTTAGACCTGTGCATTCTCTGCCCAGATTGGGAAACTTTGCTTTGGAGCCATACCTAACAATAATATAACTCACCATCTGAATCCTTTTTCTCTAAGATTTTCTCGGCAGCAACCACAGTTACGACTTCCTTCACTTCATCCATTACAACATCACTGTTGGTTTTCAGAATGCTCTGCAATCTGGCCAGTTCCTTGGGAGCATTTTTTTTCCTCTTCTCTGCTCGCATTTTTCTCTTCCATTTGCTCCTTAGGCTTTTTGCCATTTCTGTTTGCTTCTATACATGGGAAAATAATGCATAACACACCAGTATGACAAAACAGAACAGAAGCCACTGGGCTTGTGTAAACCTAAACTTGTGGCTCCCCCCGCAAAAGCCAACTACAATGACAGTATCTTCTATTTGTGCATAAGATTAAAATATATTTCTTCAGAAACGTTCTTCAAGAGCAATTTCCATCTTGTTTAAAACAGATTTCGGCTTAGTTCATAAACGAATTTGAATCGATGGCTCCTTACTTCTAAATAATATTTTCCTGCTTTTCAAAGCTACACAAAATCCCAGAAATACAAAACTTGTACAAATATTCCTGAACTTCTCCCACAGCAGAGGCAACCTATAGTAAAACTTCCAATGAGCCACCAACGCTCATTTGTTCTTTTAAA